TGCCCCAAATATACCCTCTTGAGGATTCTCCTTCCTTTTTTTATTAAAAGGTTGTTCCATCTCTTCTGCTGCAGCCACTGCAATTAGACCCAACTGCACTGTTTGTTCAGCTGGGTTCCTTCAAGTCCCTGTATAGCTTTAAATATGTGGTGACAACAGCCCCCTCACAGTTCAGACTCTGGGCAAAGGAAACACGTGGATGGTGGATGACAAAAACGTGATTTCTCTGGCCCAAGTATTCCAGTCAGACCTCTGGATGTGAAAATATCTAGCCCCCCAGATGGGGGTCATTGGTGTACTTACATAGAATTAAATCAACTATTGTTTTGGAAAAAGGAAAAGAAGTACCATTTCCCGAGGGTTTAAAAAAATCAGATAATAAGTAAATGGCAAAATGTGAAGGCTCACTATTCACAAAACATTACTATTATTTATGGTAAAAAATTACGAAGATGTGTACCATTGAATCATACACTCATCTGAGTGAGGAAAGTATGGTGGCTGATAGGAGAGTCATATTACATGCGTCCGCCATATTTTCAAAAGAACATTTCAGAGGACCTGACCAGCTGAAAATCCCAGAAGATATAACTTCATTCACCAAGCTAAACCCCAACCTTGCTTCAAGCAGAACTGACTGACCCATGAATGGGTAGGCACATGTTAAGCAAGTGAATGAGTAGGGAAGACAATGTGCAAAAAATAATGATGATGAAACAGAGATATGAGACAGAATTTGAGAGAAGAATGAAAATGAACTACTATGCTCTTTGGATTTATTGTTTGCAATTCCAGTCACGCATGAGACCCTGCTCTAGTTCCAACTCTTGGCCTTCAAGACTTTTCATATAGTTTATTTATGCATGATAGCTTCTTTTATATAACTTAGCTTGAGTATATTTCTAGTTCTTGCAACCATTCTCAAACTAAGACCCAAACCCAAGTTAAAGTTATGACAATCTGACCAATTTTATTACGTCTTTGATTCTGACGTATTTTTTTGATCTTCAGGCTCAAATAGCCAGCATTCTATTTGAAATCTTCATTATATATCTAATATTATCTTAGACTTAACTGTTTGTAACATGTCTTATTTTCTTTAAAAAATGTAAATATGATCCCCTACCAAGTTGCTCAATATGCACCAAAATTTACCCAGGTGCACAGGCCAAAATCCTGGTGGTCCTTTTTTTTTTAATCCTCACCTAAGGATATGTTTTTACTGATTTTAGAGAGCGAGGAAGGGAGAGAGATAGAAACATCTATGTGAGTGAGAAACATCATTCAGTTGTCTCCTATACACTCCCCGACCGGGTATGGAACCTATAACCTGGGTATGAGCCCTGACTTGGAATCAAACCCAAAACCGTTTGGTGCATAGGGTGATGCTCCAAGCCACTGAGCCACCTGGCCATGGATCTAGTGGTCATTTTTGGCTCTTTTATTTTCTTCATGTATCTCATTTGACTTGCCACTATGATAGACGTTACTACTAATTATCAATATCCAGTTGCCTCTATTCTGAACATATGAGAGGATTGCATTTCCCTGCCCCCTTGGTGCCTTTCTCTGGATAATGAAATGTGAGGGAACATTATATGCATCATCCTTTGTAGAAGCATTTAAGGGCTGTTACTTTTGTCTATCTTTTCCTGTCATGTGATAGAGAATGTTTCATATGGTAGACTATCTGTCAGCCTGGGTTCCTGACTAAGCTAGAGCTTTTGCTGACTCAAAATATACAAATAGGGTGAGCAAAAATTAAACCTTTGCTATTATTCTATGGCACTGAGGTTTGGATGTTTTTTGTAACTGTAGTATAAGCTAGCCTATCTTAAAATAACCCCCAACTCTTGTTGACTCTATTGTCAAACTATATTACAAACTTAAAGTTGTCACCTCCTCTTCTATCATCACTGTATTCCAATGACCGTCCTCTCTTGCCTAGATTTTTTGCAGGAGCCTCTTAGTCTTCCTTTTTCTACTCTGACATCTCTCAAATCTACTCATTCTCCAGGAAGTAGCCAGACTTTCTGTCTTTTTAAAGATAAATTCAATTATGTCATGCCTTGCCCAAGCCCTCAACAAATTCCAACTGGACTTAGAATAAAAATCAAAGTCTCTCCAAAAACTCCAACAGTCTATGATCTGACCCCTACCTATTTGTCCCAAGTTTATCTCCTGTCATTCTTTTATCTCTCTGCTTCAATTACACCATCTCTCTTACCATTGCTTGCAAACAGTATTAAACTCATTCTCCTCTCAAGGTTTTTCTCTATTTGCTACCTCTATGTGAAATGTTCTACTACAAGATCTCTGTGAGGCTTGGCTTGCTCCTTCGAATCATATAAATCTTTGTTCCAAGAGTACATCCTCAGAGTAGTCTCTACATTATCTAAAAGCACACACCCCTATAACTAACTATCCAATTACCTGTTTTACTTATAGTATTGGAACTTCCTTATGTTTTCATTTGTTTAATTTATGTTTCACTTTTTCTGGACTATGAACATCATAAAGAAAGAATTATGTTTTTCCATGTTATGTACTTTGTATCTTAAAAAGTTTCTTGTGCTCAGTGGAATTCAATAAATATTTATCAAATGAGTAAATAAATAAGTAAATAAGTAAATAAATAACTTAAACAATCAGAATGTCAAAACAATACTTTAATGAAGAGACAACTGAGTAAGACTTTCATAAATCCTTAACCAGTGTTTGTTTGTTTGTTTGTTAACAGAGCAAAAGATAAATCAAAATAGTGCTAATCAATTTGTATAGTTTTTTCCATGTCTTACCACTTACAAACCATTTATGAAAGTAAAACCTGATTGTTCAAGCTAACTTGTTGAAATTAGCCAATGTATATTTTTAAACATATTTTTATTGATTTCAGAGAAGAAGGGAGAGGGATAGAGAGAAAGAAACATTAATGATGAGAGAGAATCATTGATTGGCTTCCTCCTGCATACCCCACAATGGGGATTGAGCCCACAACCCAGGCATGTGCCCTGACCGGGAATCAAACCATGACCTCCTGGTTCATAGGTCGATGTGCAACCACTGAGCCATGTGAGCTGGGCTAGCCAATGCATATTGGAACAGTAAGCCTTCTAAAAGAGAATTAGCATGGCATGTGTTTAAAGTTGCAATAGCAATAACAGTGTTTCTCAACTCAAATTATCTACATTTTCTACAATAGACCCAAGAAATAAGCAAGAAAAGGATATGAAAGTGAAAGAACAGACTCAAATACATAGTAGGTTAGTAAAGAAATTAGAGCAAAAACCATGAAGTAGGAAGTACTGAGATAACAAATGTCTACGGAAAATAACTTTCTGAATAGTTAACTAAAAGGAATCCATCAGTAGAACTCATCAATAAGGTATAAACATGACCAACATGTTTGCGCTTCATTATCACCTCCTTGATGTTATGTGTGGTTATGTGTACTTCCATCACATGCCAATATGACACATGTGAATTTCTATCAGTGGGAGCATCCCATTAGTTTAGAGGAAATAATGGATTTGCACCATACACCAGCTCATTTATCAACTTTTACTCATGAAACCCTCTACATTTTTGCAAAACAGATGGTCCAGGTGAGGAGTCTTTATTATGCTCAAGAGATATATTGAAAATACTGGCTTTCAAAGGGTTTAACTTTATTTCCCTTGCCTCAGGAGCATTCCAAGGAAGAATGACTGTGAGAGTCAGGAGGGGTGACTCAAGCTCTTGTCTCTGTGACTCTAAAGGCTTGAGTGTGTCATTTAACTTTGTGATTCTAGATGAGAATAAGAAAAACAATACCTATCCTAGATTTTTCATAAGATTGTCATGAAAATGATACTTGTCAAAGATATGTTTTGCAAACTGGCTATTTCAGAATTCTTTATTCTGCTTCTTTGAGGTTATTAAAATTATCCTCTAAATTGAAGTTGTCATATGCATACCTTTCAAAGTAGGAGGAAACTAAAGAGCAAGCGGTAAAATGCATATGCTTTGCCATCTGGTCTTCACTTCTATTTGAGATAACAATGTCTATAATTGTTTAAGAAATATTGAAATTACTGTCATTAGCAAAATATGACACTGGTATTTTTTAAACACACAAAGGCACCAAGAGTTATCTCTCATTAGGAAACTCTAACAGTTTATTTCCAAACCCAAACATTTCCAAATAATCCACCCATTACCCAAGGAAAAAGCTACTAAATTCATGGTCCATCATAAATGGAACAGCATTTTTTATAGTACTCATCTGAATATCTGAGAAGGAAAACAAAATCAGAAGAAAATGCACAAGACTCTTGATTGTATGAAACTTATTTGCTATTAATTGCCAAACCTCTGACATCTGAGCCTCCACCGTGCTCTACTTATTGTGTTGCTTTGTTTACTTGAGTAATCTTCCTGTTCATCGCAAAAAATCCCAAAGATATTAATAAATTAGCAGAATAGGGTGTGTGATGAATACTCTGATGGAAGCATTTTGTTTCATAAAAAATCCTGATCAAGACCATTTAACTATCAATAATCCAAGTCCACTCCAATCTCATACTCAAAAGTTACTTTATGGAAGAGATTAGTTATATATAAAGAAAACTCAGGATGCAACAATTTTACTCTATACCAGGAATCTCCTGTCAACCAAGATAACATAACTTTCTAAGGAAAATCTCTCATTCTTCCTGTTAATGAAATCCATCCTGTTCTCTCTCTTACATACAAGACCTATACTATTGAAAGATATAAAAATGAGATCATTGCTAAGTGAATGCAATCACTTTGCCTCTTCACCACCAAAACCAATCAATGTAATCCCTACAGTAAGTTAATTACAAGAAAATACTCAATTACTCGTGGTACCTGAATGAAGCACGATCATCAAGCTTTGGCTCAATGACTAGGCCTACTTGATATTTATAAAATACATTTATGTGCTTTTTGGAAATTACACCACCTTGAATGTTCAGTGATTGTGTAGTTCTCCCTACCTCGTGGTGATTCTTGGCCAGCCATTCCTTAATGGTGCTGAGGGCAATCACTGCAGCAGGCTCGTTCGGGAAACCTAAGAGGAGAGCAGAATAAAGAAATAAAGAAAAAAGATGAAGGCAACACAGAAGTCAATCAGTATGATACTGGATTTTTCTCATTTAAACAGTAGTCAATTCAACCTATTAGTACTGAAGAAGGCAGGAGGGCCTTAGTAAGGCACACACAGATTCAAGGCCTGTGATCCTACAAACTAGGCATTAAGGGAACTAGTCCTACACCAAAATAAAGCCAAAAGCACTAAAGAATTTAATTGTCTCTCTAATTTGAAACAACATCAATTAAACATGCCCTAGCCGGTTTGGCTCAGTGGATAGAGTGTCGGCCTGTGGACTGAAGGGTCCTGGGTTTGATTCTGGTCAAGGGCACATGTCAGGGTTGTGAGCTAGATCCCCAGTAGGGAGCATGCAGGAGGCAGCCAATCAGTGATTCTCTCTCATCACTGATGTTTCTATCTCTCTCTCCCTCTCCCTTCCTCTCTGAAATCAATAATATATATATAATATAAGTATCAATTAAACATTATTTACATTTGCTTGATAGTTTTCAAAGCCATTATATATAATTTTCTCATAAGGTGTTCTCAAATTAAGATTTATTACTCTCTTATTACTCTAAGTTTATAAATTGAGCAATATGGTTCAGAGAATACACATGGTTGACCCAGGGTCACAAGGCTAATAGTACTCCATCAATAAACTGACAGAAGACAGGACAACTTGCCAAATAGCCATACAATTGAAAGCTATAGTCAGAATTCAAAGGAGGCAATGCCTGCTTCATTTAGGGTCACTGGAAATTATGTTTGAGATTAAGACATCATGAGCTGACCTGGTTTTGTTGTATGGCTTTGGTTTTAAAATGGCAGAAAGACTGACATACTTATAATGATGTCCCAGTGAGCATGAGCACATATCAAAATTTCACAAACTCACCCACAATGAACACATTCCTGAACTTGCAGAACCATCAGACATTTTGCCAACAGATAAAAGTATGTGAAGTAATAACCATCTGAGTTACAATTTATGTAGCAGAAAGGAGAAGAAATGGGCATGACCATTCTGTTGAAGCTACTCCCTTTAAGTTCCCCACTGGCTTCCTAATCACCAAATCCCATAGGCTTTCAATCAGTCTTCATCTGCTTCACTATTAGATGGCCTTGACTACTTCTCCATGTTCTAATCTCTTCACCCCTGGATTTCCCTTAAGTTTATTTTTTAGTGTTTTAAACATACAACTCAGTGATTTTTTAAATATGTCCACAAAGTTGTATAAGCATCACCACTAATTCCAGAATATTTTCATCATCTCCAAAGTCCACATTAACAGTCACTCCACAATCTCCCCTCTCCCCAGTCTCTGACAACTATTAATCTTTCTTTCTCTTATATATTTGCATATTCTCCTCCTGGATTTCAACCCTGCCTTCTGCTATGTTTCCTCCTACCTGTTTGACCTCCCCTGGCTCCTTTTCTCTAGGAGCATTTATTAAATGTATGTCACTCCAGCTTTCTGCTTCTTCTACTCTCTGCTCTAGCCAGGTGCAGCAACAAGTCCTTGAGGAGGTCTAGTCAGGGAGGCTCCTGTGACATTGTCAGTGCAGATGCAGAAAGAGAGAGGTGTTACTGAAATGGAGAGAACTGAGATTTAAAAGACCCAGTTTTGTCCTGGCCAGGTGGCTTAGTTGGTTGGGGCATTGTCCTGTACACCAAAAGGTTGTGGGTTCGACTCCTGGTCAGGACACATATCTAGGCTGCAGGTTCAATCCCAAGTCTTGACATGCAAGGGAGGAAACCAATCAATGTTCCTTTCTCACATTGATGTTTTTCTCCCTTTCTCTCTCCCTTTCTCTCTCTCTAAAATCAGTAAACATCCTTAGGTGAGGATTAAAAAATTTAAAAAAAATTAATTAATTAAAAAACAGTTTTATTGGAAGGCAAATACATATTGCAGCAGTTCATACTAACAATTTAAATATCAGTAGACTTTTAGAGAAGATGTGTGTGAAAGAAGTTGTTTTTCCTTATTTCTGAGAAAAAATGTTCCTCTTCTAACTAGGTTTCTGCTTGCTTTGTTAGGGAGTGCATTAGGAAAGGGGACAAAATAAACAAGGGCCAAGCTCAACTCAAGCACTGTGATATGACAGTCAGAACCACTGTAATACAAAAAATATGCATAAGTTCTTGAAACTTTGTAAATTTATCTATGATATTTAGGATTGTGGATTTGTTTTGAATTCTTTCATCCCATTCATTTTCCTTAAATGGAGGCTTCAGAATGTAAAACTCTTCAAGTTAGAAAAAAACCTATTAATTAATCAATTACATAATCCATTAAACAAATTATTAAACCAGAGGAGTCTAGATCCCAGACCCTTTGAAAGAGTCCCTGTCCTCTAAAGCCCAAAGTCTGGAGGACAGAACTGACAAGAGGTAACAGCAATAAAGCATGCCAAGGGCATTAGGGATGTGGGGACACAGGCAAAGAGAACTAAGAAAGAAAGGGGGAGAGGTTCTAGGAAACAATAAAATATTTGGGGAAGGGGACTATAGGTGGAGAGAGGAGTAAGTTTATGAAGCTCTGACCAGGTAGCTCAGTTGGTTGGAGCATCATCCCAATACACCAAGGTTGCAGGTTCGATCTTCGGTCAGGGCACAGACAAGAATCAACCAATGAATGCATAAGGGAAACAACAAATCTCTCACTCAAATCAATAAATTAAAAAAATAGATATAAGCTTAGAACAGCAAGGAGTTAATGAAAAGCATGAAGGGAAATTGAGGGGGAAGAAAGCAGGAGTACCTGTGGGCTGCAAAGAAAAACAAGTAGGCCAAGATGGGCATTTATGATTAGAGCACAGGAGGCTTTTGCAATTCACCTTCCCCCTGAGTTTACCACCTGCATCTGTCATCAGCTGGATACCTCCCCTAGATGTGCTCCAGAAGCAGAAATGTAACGACCATTCTTCTGCCAAATGAACCACTTCCTGACTGCAGTTTCTGCCTATGGCTTTACTTCTCTACCAGTCACTACAGTATATGACCCTCATTCCTGTTGGTAACTGAGTCTGCAAAGCATTGCCCTATGAAATATCTTACACCACCCTTTCTTTACTTTCTTTTCTGACTTATCTGATCTGCCTCATCCTGACAACTGCAGCCAAATCCTAATTGTGCTCCTTCCGGTCTTCTCCCCTTCTGCAATCTATCTAGCATGCCTCTGGCAAGTGATTCTTCTTATAGTGACCACAAGCTTCCACCAAACAATGGCAGCCTTTGCTGATTTCTCCAGCCCCTGCAGAGTAAACTTTCTCTTGGCCTCGCATTCTATATCCTGAGGGACCTTTCTAGACTTACACCTTAGTTTTCTTTATTTATTATCTTGCCTTGAAAATTCTTCTCCAACTTTTTGATATGTCCAAGAAGCACTTAAATCATACAATTATAGGGCCATATAAAGCTAATAAATACTGTAATCATGTTCAGTAAGCTTATGAAGCTCCGACCAGGTAGCTCAGTTGGTAGCATTAACCTTTAGAAGATGTAATGCCCACCAGAAATTATACAAATTCCTGCAGAGCCATGGAAACAATGGTCAGTTCTCAACTATTTGTGACCCCCTGGTCATTTCCCCATATTCATCAAAGCCTCTGGCACTGAGTTATGGTTTTCTCTACCTCAAGGTTTGCCATAATCCCTGGGTGATTTCAGCATCCAAAAAATGACCCACCCAACGCCTGGCCTGCCAGGTCTTTGACTTAGTTATTCTCAACAAGAACTTCCACTCCACCTCTTCCCCAGATCACAAGCTGGACCTGGATGTTACATTTCCATTCCAAAATTACTAATTGAAGCAGTCCTTTCTCACCATCTGTTCTCTCTTGTATTTTTGTTCAGCTACTTTCCAAGGAATGCTCTTTACAAGCATTTGAAGGCTGCTTTGTCCTCAAAACATTCCCCTTATTAATGCTAATGTTTCTCCCCTGAATGGTCTGAATCTTTTCTGTCTCTCCAGGCTCATCCCATTTGCTATTGCTCTTCGCTTTCTCAACCTCCACCCACTGGCTTTTTTTCTGTCCTTCGAATGTGGCATGTTTCCTTTTGCCTTCTTGCCAAAAGGTCTTGCTCATGTTGTCTCTTCTTCCTCAAATGACATCCCTCTCCTTTTCTCCTAGCTTATTTTAACTTTACTGGGCCTCTGCTTAGTCTTTCTCTAGGGAAGGCTTCTCTGACACTGATAACTCCCCATTTTGTGCTTTCATAGCACTGTGTACCTTTCTCTCAGAGAACTCATTATACTTGCAACTTTACATTTACTTATGTAAATAATTAATATTAACAGAGTGAAAGCCCTAAGGAGGTAGATATCACACCTGATTTTGCTTATCACTGTATCCCTAAAGCACTGCTGGCACACAAATGATGATAAGTATGTGTTGAATTAGTGAATGGATTGTGGGCTCATAAATCTTTGTATTGATAACAGAAAGGGCTAAGTGCTAGGAGAACAAGTTTGTTTAGCCCTAGAGTTTGGGGAGAGTGAAGGAATTCTGAGAAGCTGCCTAAGCAGAATGATATATCCAAATTATCCTATTTCTTCCCTAAGGAAAATTATTGAGAAGATGCATAAGATAAAACATAATTCCTGCTCAGAAAATATGCTTATTAATTAAACAAATAAGCATAAAATGGTAATTAAAAAGGGGAGAGAATTACCAAGGCAATTATCTCTGAAAATATGTCTGCTTTCAGTGTGCATATACAAGATAAAGTATGATGTCAGAAAAAAACAGCAACATCACAGTGCTTTGTCGGCTTAACTGCAAGACACCAAGGGTTACAAGGAAACCAATGAATAGATGAGGACAGATTTTTGCCAGGGGATGGGCTTCTGATGACAGTTAGGCCTGCCTTAGGAGGTCACAGCTATATTCTGCTCACCAAGGGACTTTTGTTCACAAAAACAGAATGGCCACCCAGAGGGAAGGCAGCAGACAAGTTTGAGATGTGTTAT